TCCGCGTCAAAGGCAGCGGCTCCCTTCCCCTCTGGTTTTCAAAGTGCGAAAGGCCCGGCCTGAGTGGATGAGGGGACGCCGAGGGCTGGCCTGTTCCAGCGGGCTGGAGGCGAGCGGAGAGGGTGCTGGTATGGAAGAGTGCATTTTAATAGCCCTGGCTTTTATTGAGCTCACCAAAAGGGACGGTGCATGTGCAAAAGGAATGGGAAAGGGGGGGAGGGGGGAGTGACACCCCAAGCCACAGTGAGCCGCTCTGACTTTGCATTTCAAACCCACAGGCCTGATCCTGCTTCCGCTCTGGCGGGTGTCAATCTGGAGTCACTCCGCTGCCACGCCTGGGCCCAGTCCCTGGCGTACCGCTCGGCAGTGCTTGACTTACAGCCCCGTGGGCCCCCAGAGTCTCTCCCGCGTATAGTTCTGCAATCAGGCATGTCCCTTCAAAGGGCAGCATGGGAGCCAAATCTACAGGGTTCATAGACAGCACAATGCATGCGGGACGTAGGCATCAGGACCCTGAAAATAGCTACACCCCGGAGCAATCCCACCGATCTTACTTGTCTGTTACACTTACACCTAACCAGACAATTTCCAAGACCCTTAAAATAATGATGGCCCTGAACTTCCAGAGAAGTAACGTTTCTCACATGCACAGAGCCACTGAGTTCACTGGGCCAGATTCTGTTCCCAGTATAACTGCATTGGTTACTACACTGAGTGATGCTGGTCTGCAACTAGAATCTATCCCCTCAGTTTCCTTACATGACTAACGTTATCCCCACAAGCAAAGGCATTTGCAGGAGAGCGCTCGCTCCTTAACTTCGAAAGCTACAACAGGTTTCAGAACGCGAGTAGAATAAACCGGTGTTCTCAGCCGTCGCAAAATGGAATACACAGGTAAAACTTTGATTCTGGTTGAGAGGACATTAGCTAATTGATTTTCAAGCAGCACACACAGCCCAATACATCCCACCTTTAGGATTAAAGCAAATGCACCGCAGGGGGAGAAAAAAGCAATTACTCTAGTTTCCAAAAGAGCTTTGGGCACTTTGGGTTTCAATGCTATTGCAACCGTGCACTTTTAAACAACCTGGTTTTGTCGCAAAGCCAGAACCCCACAAGTAAATCTCAAAAGCCCATAACCTGATTTTTTCCCGTTGAGGTGGGGGGGGGTTAGTAAAATAGACAATCTGTTGCAAACATACCTGGGTTTGACAGGAGAGCATTAAGAGCTGGAAACATCTGTATTTGGAAACAAAAGAGAGAGAAAAAATACACAGGGTTTTGTTTGGGAGGGTGAGTCTGTCTACCACTAGTACACTATTGATTAAACCTTGTTGCAAATAATTTGGAACAAAAGTAGCTGGGAGGAAAGAAAAGAAAAGCGCTTACATGGAAAGGTTTTGGAGGCTGACGTGCTGCATGTCGCTTGCCAAAATTTAAAAAAAAAAGAGAGATAAATACATAAAATGAAGAAAATCAGTTCTGAGCTGGACTCTCTCCAAAAATCCCTTAAAGCTGGCTCATTCCTGGGGGGTGAAGGTAAGGAGTTGTGCTCCCCTCCTTTGCAGTCAGAAACCCCCCAGGAAAGGAGGTGTCAGAAACACCCCCCCCACACACACACACACACAGTTCTTGCACCTTTAAAACCACATGGGATCAGAAAGTGCCTGGAACAAAAATTGATAACAGTGCATGGAGAAGGCTGGAGCAGCGCATCCGTGTTCTTCCTTCCTTTCCTTTCTAAGCGTTACCAAGGTCCGTGCCGTGCTTGAAGAACCCTCCTAGCATCCAAGTTTGTTTCATCCATTTCCCCTTTGCCTCCCCACCCCGCCCGGCCCCAAAATAGAAACCTCACTGCTTTCCACAGTTTATTCACTGGGTTGCATCTCTCCTTCTGCCTGGGCGCTGCCTCCTCCTACATGGGAAGGTGGCTCCAGGCAAGGCGCTCCCATCTGGGGAGGAGAAGGCACTGGAGAGGCACAAGCTGCAGTAAGTCCCAAGCTTGGCTCCAGCCGCGAGGTTACATGAGGAAGCAGGGGCTTGCTTGCAGTCTCTTGCTGGCACCTCACATGCGTCAGTCCTGGGATCTGGGAAGAGTTTCTGCAGATAGAGGCAGAACCTTCCTTTCTGGCTTCCCTGCAAGTCATTCAGCAGCTGGAGAGGGAAGGAGGAACCTCACCTAGCAGGAGCCTGTGAGGGAGGAGAAAGAGGGTGGGGGAGGCAGCTTGGCCGAGCGGCTTGCTGTGTCCCCAAATTGGAGAAGCCGACCTGAATTAACAGAAGTGAGGGGAGGGGGATGGACTCAGCCAGCCCCCCCGCAGCAGCACACACCTGGCCCAGGGGGCGGGGAGGCATCCAGGAGAGTGCCCGAAAAGCCACCCGTGCATAGAAGCGGGGCGCACGGTGTTCGGTATGATGCAGTCGCAGCGGGTGGCTGGTGACGTGTGCCTAAGACCAGGGGTTTGCAAACAGGGGGTTATGACCCAGGGGCTGTGGAATGTCAGGCCCTGGGTCTCGTGGCTGCAGGGGGATCTGGTGAGCAGTGGGGAGCTAAGGCACCCCCCTGCCTGGCCTGGCACCGCCGACTGCGCTGCCCCCCAGAAGCAGCCGGCAGCAGGCCCAGCTCCTTGGTGTGTGTGGGGGGGGGGGTGTGTGGGAGGGGGAGAGCACACAGGGGGGCAGCAGAGTCTGCAGTGCAAGGAGAAGCAGGAAGCTCCCTTAGCATCCCGTCCCCCCCGCCCCGCTGCCCAAGAGCATCTCCGAATGCAGGCGCGGGGCAAAGAGCGCGGCTTCGCCCCTGCCAGCCTGCACGCAGAGACGCCCCCCGAGGCGGGGGCACCTCCGGGTTCAGCTAAACGGCCAGCAACCCGCTGCAGAGGGGGTCGCCGTCCCCGGCTTTGAAAGGCCCTTTCTTGCCGGGTGGGGTGGGTGATGGGCTGGCTTGCAGCTCTAGCGAGTGGCCCAACCCAGGTGGCCTTGGGGAACCCTCCCCCAGGGGTTGTGCCCAAGAAGAGCCCCGGGGCCGTGCCGGGGAAGTCCAGCTACGGCCTCCACAGGGCGGAGGCGGAGCAGTAGCCAGTTCTTTGCTTATCTCTGTCCGGAGCCGCCTCCGGGGGCGATGGGGTTGGTTACAGTGCGTCCATTTGGCCTCACCGCCCCAGTCCCACTCGGTGGCCGCCTGCCATTGATTGTAAGAAGCAAGCAACTGCGTTTGCCTGGCCAGGGAGAGGTACACTCCCTTCTCTGTACCCCCCCAGAGTCCTTGCTGCCCCCCCTCACCCAGGCCCTCCCTGCTCCCCTGGAACGTGGAGACTGGCAGAAGCGGGGAGCGTCTGGGAAGCCCAGCTTGCACCTGCCCCCGCATTCTGTCACCTCCCTCCGACTGCGCTCTGCCCGGACCCCTGTGCCCAGGTGCGGGTGTGTGGGGCTGGCACACTCAGGAAGGGCTAAAAGGGCCCAGAAGGGAGCCCGGTGCTACAAAAGCTGCCATAAAGGAACTCAAATCCAGGACGGAGACGAACTGAAACATAGATAATCCCTTTAGGGGAGACCCCCTCCCGCACTGAAAGCCTCCGGGCGGAGCTCAGAACTTGGTCTCTGCCAGGATCCATCCCTAGCTCCAGGAGGCCGTGTGTGTAGTGGTAAGAGGGGCTGCAAGTCAGAACTCTTTGGAGTGCCTTTCCTAGCTGCTCTGCCACCGAGTCACTGCCAGACCTCAGGAAAGTCCCTTTACCTCCCTGTTCTTTGGTCCTGTTAAACGGGGACACAGGAGGAACATGAGACTTCATTGGGTAATATTTGGTGACTGCTTTTATATCCTGGCTCAAAAGATGCTGTATTCATCGTCGCCACCTGGAAACACCATGTGCGAAACGCATCGCTAAAGAAATCCTGAGCCTTTCTGACCGGGGGGTTGTTTTACAGCTAGATCTCTCCGTCACCGTTTCTAAGAAGGTTACCAGAATTACAGAATAGTTCCAGCGCAACGTTGCCTGTCAGTTGGCAATTGTCACGGTGTCATGCAGCCGGAAGGGTTATCTTCTTGGCGGAGTTACTTATTATTACCCCTTGAATTCCTACACACAAGTGGAAGCCGTGTTGATGAATTATGCACTGTTGTCCTTCCAAGCCAGATATTGGCCTGGCCAGCTCTCTGAAGTAAGTATGAAGAAGCAGAACCCCTCCCTGCGATAGCACCGTAATGATACTGCCGTCCGAGTGTCCTCGTTATAAAGCGTGATAGGACCAGAGTGAGGGGGATCGAGAACCATTCTGACCCCTTCTGGAACACCGGGGGCATGACACCCTGCCCACCTGCAGCCAGGGACCTTCTAGGCCCGATGAGCACCCCATCCTACATTGGCACTTTGCAATCCATTGCATGAGCTCCTTGGGAGGCTGCCGGGGGGCTCTGGAAACATCAGTCGATTCATGCAAGGCAGTAGTGGAGTCACTTCCTTGCCGGCCTGACACCCGCTCATGAGCCCCGCCAGCTAACAGTTCCCCGCCTTTCCCGGCAGTTCCCTGCGGTGACCAATCCCGGATACTTCAGAGGAAGGCATAAAACGCCCCACAGGAGGCAGGGTGACCATGTGGCCCCATGGAGCAGGAATCTGGCCTCACATCAGAGGACTAAGGGCTTGATCTCTTCAGGCTCCATTTGCTCCAGTGCTTGGCTATTAAGGTGATAAGTGCCTTCTAAATACCTTTGATGGGTATCTAGGTAAGGCCCCCTTTTCAGTCCCAAAGTGCTGCCTCCTGTAGCTGAGCACTGTTAAAACACAGCTGCCTTTTGCCCCAGAAGTAGCTACATTTCTAAATACCTAAAAGGGTGTCACAAAGAGGAGGGAAAACAATTGTTCTCAATCTCAGAGGACAGGACAAGAAGCAATGGGCTGAAACTGCAGCAAGGGAGGTTGAGGTTGGACATTAGGAAAAGCTTCACTGTCAGGGTGGTGAAACACTGGGATAGACTAAAGGTCTCAAATAAATGGCTTTTAGCTCAAGCTGTAGCAGCTCCTGCATTTGCCTAACATTATGGAGCTGAACTTTTGCAAACTACTTCCTAACCATTGTACTCCAAGTGGAGCATAAGTCATCTACAAGTCTCCTCCACTTCACTCTGTCTTGAGACAAAACTTCTAGCTGACTCCAGGAGTACCCCTGTTGTCGTCCTTCAATCTCAGTAGATCTTCTCCACGCTGTCCGAGGTCTTCCTCTTTTGTGTTTTCCTTGCAGGTTCCATGTGAGAGCTTGACGGACTACGCTGGAAAATGGTTTTCTGAGAATGTGATTGCCTGGTGAGGTTTTGGAATCTCCATCACTGGAGATATTCAAGAGCAGGTTAGCCAGACACTGTCAGGGTGGTTAAACACTAGCCCAAGTGGAGCATAGGTCACCTACAAGTCTCCTCCACTTCACTCTGTCTCAAGACAAAACTTCAGGAGTACCCCTGTTGTCGTCCTTCAATCTCAGTAGATCTTCTCCACGCTGTCCGAGGTCTTCCTCTTTTGTGTTTTCCTTGCAGGTTCCATGTGAGAGCTTGACGGACTACGCTGGAAAATGGTTTTCTGAGAATGTGGCCTAGCCAGCCCCACTTTCGTCTCTTAATTTTTTGAGAATTAAACACTGGAATAAATTGCCTAGGGAGGTTGTGGAATCTCCATCACCGGAGATATTTAAGAGCAGGTTGGACAGACACCTCCCGGGGATGATCTCGGCCAGTGTTTCTTAAACTTTTTGAGACCGAGGAACACCAAACAATGTCTTTTTTAAATGAGGCACACCAAGGATTTTTTGTGGAGCACATAAAAAAAAAAGGATGGAGGGAAGTTATTGAGCAAAAAAAAAAAAAAAAAAAGCAACCTGCCCCTTTCAGGGGGGCCATTTTGAACTCCGTGGCACACCTCGGTGTGCTGCGGAACATAGTTTAAGAAACACTGATCTAGCTGATGCTTGGTCCTGCGGGGAGGGCAGGGGACTGGACTCGAGGACCTCTCGAGGTTCCCTCCCAGTTCTATGACAGTTCACTGGTGGACTTGCCCTCTGTTTACTAAGCACTGTGGGATGAAAGTTGCGAGGGACACATGAATGTCTTACTGTTGCTTCCAAGGCGTCCTGCCAGACCCCAGAAAGAGGTGCGAGGCGAAGCTGTCAGCTGCCAAGGCTGGGTCTGGAGGCCATGGAAGGAGACTGGGATGTCGGGGCTCCCTGCGTGACTATCACTGCGCCCCCCTCATTCAACTCATCCGCTGAAGTGGGTTTTACTCACGACAGCTCGGGAGACAATATATTCGTTAGCCTCGCAGGCGCCACAGGACTGTGCATTGCTTTTCCTGTTCCCCCCGCTCCTTTTCCTCCCTCTTACAGCTTGTCCGTGCTGCTGAGTCAGTCCCTGGCTGAACAGGGCCACGAAGAGCTGGGTGAGAGGCTGCATTGCCGAGCGCAGCCCAGGACGAATCCCGCCCAGTCTCACGTCCCCTAAGCCCATTCTTCCCACGTATTGTGTGTAGACAAGCCCCGGCGGCTCCTTCCCCTCCTTGCGTTCTAATGGAGTCTCGGCTCTTCGGGGCAGGACCTGTTCATCCCTGGAAGTTGCCACAGAGCTGAGCACAGGGGTTCTGCTCAGGGCTTCTAGGCAGAGCCGCAATAGAGATGCTCATGAGTCATGGGTGTGCTCTGTGCCTCAGTTTCTCCAAGTGCAAACTGGAGGGTATGAGACGCTGCCCCTCACAGCAGAAGAAGACTCTTGGAAGAGATGAACACAGGCCTTGCCAACAGAGGGACTGTGCCCATTGCTAGCCCCTCGTGTAGCCAGGCAGCTTATCCTGGTTCCAAGCAGGGCTAAACCGTGCAGCTGCAAATAACTCACCCTCCTTTTACATCTGGGGAAACTGAGGCAAGAAGATGCACGTAACTTGTTCCAGGTCGCTCATTAAAGCAGCAAGAGAGCTGGGAGAAGAGCCCCAGGCTCCCAAGTGGTAACGCAGTGTGCTGCTCACTAGGCAACACTGCCTTCCCTAGTTTTACCTGACTCCACTCGGCGTTTGCACAAGGGCAGCTCTGCTGGTATCTGCCATCAGGGTCTAAAACCTGCCGTGCAGATCTGGCCACAGGACGGTTCGCTGGGTGGAAATTCGTGAGGGGCAGAGGATTTTGGGGGGCTCTTCCCCCCCCATGCTGGAGGAACCCTGCAGAGGGTGCTGAGCAGGGCTGGGAGCATGCCGGCCTCCCCTCCCTTTTGAAGTTTCCGCATTGGAGAGAGGTGATTTGGTGCTAACGACCCAAATTAAGCTCACCTGGTGCTCTCTCACCTCCCCCCTTCTGGAAGGCCCCCAACTAACAAAATGCTGCTTCTAATAAACAAAAGTGTTGATCTTGCCCCTGGCTGGTGTGTGTAATGGGGGAGCAGCCGCTCTCCCGCTTCTTTCCTAGGCTACCCCGTGGGATTGCTTTGTCTCGGGTGCTGATTCCCGGGGGAAGAGGTGCTAATATCACCTAGGGAACTGACTGGCAGCAGCTTATCTGGGATCAGCTCCTGCCCTTCCTCCCCGGCCATGTGCACATCAGCTGCCTGGGATGGACTGGAACAAGGAAGGGAGCAAATGGCCCATAGAGATACCCCAGGAACGCACAAAGTGGTAGACATGGCTGTGTCTCTCCCTCACTCCCAGGGGGTGAGGAAGGGGGAGGGGGCTTCACTTGAAAATCCCAGGAAGGAGGAAGTGTGTGTGGGGGTGTTATGTGTTTGGGAGGGAGTGGTGTCTAGTGGTTACAGCAGGGGGGAACTGGTGGCCCAGTTTCTGGGCTGTGCCAATGACTCGCTATGGACCTGCAGCTCTGTGCCTCAGTTTCCCCATCTGTAAAATGGGGATACCCATCTTGATGTCCCACATGAGCAGTTATTTCAAAGCGCACGGAGATGCTCAGAAGGAGGGAGCTGGGAGGGCACAAAAGAGTTGGCTATTGCTTTTCTCACAGGTGTGCACTGTCAGAACCTGGATGGTGGTGGGGATGGTCTGGCTGGGCAGGTGTTCCCCCCAGACTGTTACCCCTGTGGGTCAGGAACTCCCCCAGCACCTCCTGTAACTGATGCTTTGGACTGTAGTTTGACTGATGGCGACACACATTGGTTTGCACGTCCGGGTGCACACATGTGGCACATCGATTTGCATACATGTGGCACATCGCACACCGATTTGCACACATGTTGCACGAGGGTTTGCACACATGGAGCGGTTGCAATACAATTGCATGCACACCGGTGCCTTTTGTCTGCAAGAGCATGGAACGCACTTGGTTTCCTGCCACCTCTCCTTGTCAAAGTCAGACCTTTTGAGGACAGTTTCCCCGCTCTTCACCCCCGAGCTGGTGTTCACTCTGGGTGGCTAACAGCCCCCCAGTAATGCTAACAGCCCCACTGGCTGAGCCCCGCATGGGGGTGCATGGCAGAGCCTTGAGGCAAACCCAGGAGCCCACTGACCCACCATACTCACCATGCAGCACTGGTTTAAAGGGGCTGCTGTCGGGATCTGGGGCTAACCGTCCTCATTGTTTCAGGATCCCAACTTCCTCTGTCTCTGGACTGGTGGCTGTGCTGGTTGCATTGCAGAGAGGGGAGTGGGTTTCTCCAGGGCTGCTGTCTGAAAGATGAGAGGCTGTAGCTTGGAAGTGCGGGGCACCTGGAATTCGGGTCTGTCGAAAAAAGCCAGGGAGTCTCTGCAGGGTAACCTGGAAAAGGTGAGCCGTGCTCCGTGTAAGCTAAGCACTTGGGCAGCCACCCAGGAGAAATTCAGATGCTGCCCAACTGATTAGCAGTGCCCCTAGTCAGCAGCCTGTGTTTCTACGGGTGGTGCACACCGGCACATGCATTGGTGCGCAGAACAAAATTTATTCCACACATGTATGGGGTGGGGAATTAGAGGGAACATTGGTGCTGAGCCCTTCAGCCATGTCCCAACTGGTGTGTGACCATCCTTCTATTGTCCGGACAATGCTAGGGGGGGGGCCTCCGTTCTACGGCTGTGGGAGCCCAAGGCATCGAAAGCCTGTGTGAGTTCTTACACAGAGCCCATCACCATGGTATCTGGGCACGTAAGGGCCTGCCGCAGCTAGGTGGCACCAGATGAAGTCAGTGAGCAAGCCTGGCCCCGGGTGGTCTGCAGGGGGCACTCTTTGTCACGGGGGGAGGGGGGTTTACACACTCAAGCACTGGGGGCCGTCAGAGATGGGACGGTGGAATAGAAGGCCCCTCGGTCCATGGGGATTCCAGCCTGGGCCATGAGTCTGATGTGGCCTGGCAGGAAGGGGGCTACACTGGCCTACAGGGGCTCATTGGCCTGCCCCCACGTCCCAGGGTCACCTGCTGGCTCCTGCACTGGGACCATGCAGCCGGCAAGCCCGACACGGCGCAAACAGCTGTAGGTAGGAGCTGGAGCCACCTCGGACCATTATTAATGGCCGTGCCGAGACACCGGAGTCCCCCGAGGGCAGGGAACCTGTCCTCACCCGCCTCCGGGGCTCTGTTTGCCTTCAATCAAGAACAGCCGGCATCAAAGCATCCCCAATGAAAACAGATGTCAACAGCTCCCGCTTGATGAGCGCTCCCCGGTCCACTCCCCTCCCTCCCCCCTGCCTTAGCCATGGGCTTCTCCCGTAAAACCAGTGTGTTTGTAGAGCTGATGCTTGCAAACAGAGTCCCTGGCTCTGGGGAGTGGTCCTTCCATCATCACTGGAATGGGGCAGAGAGGGGAAAGCAGCCAGCTGGGGCAACAGCCTTGGAGCCAAGGGGATGGCAGGACGTTGATGACAAGGGCCGGGGGGGAGGGGGACGCAGGGGATGGAGCAAGGGGGGATCGCAAGAGGGCTCAGTAAAGGAGAGGTGTGCCAGGAGTCCCTCTCTATCTCCCTCTCAGACAACAACTGCTGAGGCATGCAATCTGGAAAGAGAGGGAGAGAACCCAGGGAAGAAAGAAAGAAAGAAAGAAAGTTCTTCACACAGCACATAGTCAACCTGTGGAACTCCTTGCCAGAGGAGGCTGTGAAGGCTAGGACTATCACAGGGTTTAAAAGAGAACTAGATACATTCATGGAGGTTAAGTCCATCAATGGCTGTTAGCCAGGATGGGTAAGGAATGGTGGCCCCAGCCTCTGTTTGTCAGAGGGTGGAGATGGATGGCAGGAGAGAGATCGCTTGATCATTACCTGGTCGGTTCACTCCCTCTGGGGCACCTGGCCTTGGCCACTGTGGGCAGACAGGACACTGGGCTGGATGGACCTTTGGTCTGACCCAGTCTGGCCGTTCTTATGTTCCTTTGGAAAGAAAGAAAGAGAAAGAGGAGGTCTGAGGTCTGTGCCATCACCTCTGCTGTTAGGCTAGAAGTGACATGAAGCCTGTACGATGTGGCAGGACTTGGGAACCTGTTTTGGGTTGGGGGCCGCTGACCCACGGAAAAAACAGGCGGGCGGGAGGCAGCGGGGAGGGAGTGCCAGCACGGGCTCCCCAATGCTGCAGGTGGGGGAGGAGCTCTGCACCCCAGGGGCCGGATCCT